CACTGGGCAGACCACCCTCACCCCATGTACAAATGCAGGGAACACATGCTCCCCATGTCTCCCCCAGGAGTGAGCAGTGATGGGGAAATGCCCCCCTCCCAGATGACCTGCCCGCAGCTCCATCCCACACCCTGCCCTGCCTGAGCAGCGCCTGCCTCTGCCCCAGCCCCATTTCCTCCCTCACTGTGGGGGCCTCGATCTGCCCCCCCATGCATCCCTCCCTCCCATCCCCAGACTTAACCGGCCTGGCACTGTTTTCCAAGCTGCCTGACTGCATTCCTGGCTGCACGCATGCTGCAGCTGCACACATGCGGCGTTTATCGGTGACATTATCAGTTACACCAGCCAAAAAAGCCAACTGCCGATAATGTCAATTTTCCTTTTATCGGTACCGATCCAATATGGACCAATATATCATCTCACCTCTAATTAGAACAGATCTCTGGAGGTGGTAAAAGCTAAAAGTTAATCTGACATCAATATTTCTATCCATAGTTCCATGAAAAAGGGGTAGGTGTGTGACATTTTCTACAGCAAGCCACAATCATCTAATGTTGGGAATCAAAAACACAACACTTCAGTTTCTTAGCATGTAAAGAGCATTGCTCATAAAAAGTTTGCCTTTGAAGCATTTCCATCACTTTACCTCTGAAATGGCTTCAGGTTTGCAACCTGCCTGTCTCAAAACACCTTGTTTTTCTAAATTAGTCAGCAGGAGCTCAACTCCCAGCATTTCTCTTTGCTGCTCAAACTAACCCCCTTCCAATCAGCTAGTTTTGCTCAAATTAGCTGTTTCAGCTGTACAGCATCTACCTCCACTTACTGAGTTTCCTCCTTAAATACCACAAGAACTTTTATTCATACTTCATCCTTTACGGTTTTGGAGCAACATGAGGCTTAAGCTAAACCCCAGGGAAGCACTCTGTAGTTTCCCCTCTATGTAAGGTCAGATGAATACTTTTGTGCTTTGTTGAACCCTACATAGGAGGGGCAGGTGATTAGTTTATTATTAGTAGCTCTCCTTTCCTGTGGGACTATCTAGTAGCTGTCAAACATTTGTCCAATTATTTTTATTTATGGAATTTGCATAGGTGAAGTGTCAGATTTTAACTGAGCTGGTAATGGATGAATTAGTGCCACCTTTTCACCCTTTGGTGACTGTTTGTAGATTACCTGGATTTTCATTCACTGTTCCTAGGCCTAGATATTAGGACTACATTGCACTTAGCAATTTTTATTGTGCTTTGTGAAATTCCTGAATTGGGTGCAGAAAGAGATACATCTACTCTAGAAGGGATTTCTGTGCATGTTGAAACTCTTGCTTTCCGACTCTCTATTTAAAAGCTGTTTTGTGAACCTGAATAAATAGATCTCTCTTCACTTTGACAGAGAGAGATGTTCAGCATCAATTTTTGTTGCCTCGTTATTGACCGGGGAGAATGGTCTCATCTCTACTACACACAGTAACCAGTTTTCCCAATACTTAGGCAGCATCTTTTTAAATACTGTTGTAAGAAAAATCTATGGAGTGCAATCACTGCTGTATCCAGACAAAACCCAAGCACACTACCACTGTCACTGCAAAGAGGTTCTGGATCATTGCCTTGTTTTGCTTACCCTAAAATTGCATCTAGTTTTTAACTCCCAATTTACATAAGACTATAAAATGGCATCTTTCTCTTGTAGGATAGGATTGTCAGGATAGCAAGACTGATCAGAAATGAAGCATGCTCACCTCCAGTGACTTGTTCTTATGCAGTACCTTGTGAACAAGCTCCAAAATATCTAGTCTGCTAATCACCAGAGCATCAAATACGGCATTCAAACCCTAAATAACCAGCAGAAGGAGGAGAAAGAAGAAATAATTACATTTTTAAACAGTTGTTATAAAATGCTACTTCTACACTGAATCAATGCTCATCTTAATTATGATTATAAATGGATGCAAACTCTGGAAACATTTTGATACAGGCAGTAATATGGAGTCATTGTCAGAGGGGAAGGAAAGAACCCTGCCTCAGAGGAGCAGATTATTATTCTGTGGCCTTCAACCTGCAGGTGGAGCATCCCAACTGCTCTAGCGTTTCTGGAAGTGTAGCAAACACCCCCATGCTATGCCAGCCTGTGCATGTGTGGCAGGAACATAAAGATACTGCCCCACTTCCTCCCTGCCATCCTTGCTCTTGTCAACATGTCTTAGTAGTCTAATAAGGTAGGAGCTGTATGGATTCAACCACCTTTTTCTTTGCAATGGCATACAGATTATCACAGCAAGGCTAGACAAAGTTAGAGAGACTCCAATCTCGGTACGGTTTGAGATTCTACCAGTGAAAGTGTCTGAAATTGCAAGGTGCTCAGAACCTCTGGCAAAGTTCTCTATGGCATCTATTTCTAGAAACCTCAAAAAGATTTGAAAGTATTCAACACTTTGCAGGATGAAACCATAAAAATAAAATTATTAAAATCAGGAATAATTCCACTGAAGTCAATGGACTTCTGTTGGCATCATATTCTGATCTCAGTTTCACCATTGCCCATCTGCCTCTAGTGACCCTTTTATTTCAACATGCTAACTGAATTGCAAATTCCACTTTAAGCAGCTTTCCTACCCTTCCAAAAACATTCAGGAATCTTTACATACCAGAGCTATACAGCTAATACCCTAATACCTTCAGGGTTTGCTAGTGTTCTAAAGCCTAAAGGGAGCTAGGAGAGAAACAGTTCTAGTAGAGGGGCTCCGTCTCTTTCTAACAGCTAGAGGGAACATATGGAATCTGGCATGGAGCTTGGAGTCACTGGCAGCATAAGGTTGCTGGCTCACTGAGAAAGGAAAGTAGGCAGGAGTCCTGTTGTAAAGGGATATTCTTCATGGGACAATTTCCTTTTTTGTATGCTTCACAAGATCCTTTTTGACCCCTCATTTTTACTCCCTCTGGCCTGTGCTGCTTTTGACTGTTAAACCTGTTTTCCCTCATCCCGAGGATAAATATATATAAAAAGATGCAGCAACAACAACAAAGTTCCTCTCTGAAGAAGATCCCAAGTGTGGAGGATACTACAGAACCTTATTTTCAAGTCACTATGAGAAACAGAGATGCTTTTATTTTTTCAGTGATAGCTACATTTAAAAAACAGTTCTCTTCGGCTGCCTATACATGTGCTAGTTCACATGTGTCAGAGCAGACAGGATTAATCAGGTTTGCTTCATGTTCTAATTAGAATGCTCCAGTGTCGCCTCATCATCATGTGTGGAAACCCCTGCACGTCTTAAAATGGCTGCGGGGCCACTTTATCTAAACCTCAGTCAATGAGGTTTAGATAAAGCGTCCCATGACCATTTTTTAAATGCACGGGGGCTCAAAATACATGACAGTGAGACATTTTAATTAGAGCAGGTCTCTGGGAACTGCTCTGATTAAAACAACGCCTCACCCCAATCACGTGTATAGGCAGCCCTCGTGCTCTAGGATGTTTTCTGCAATTTGTTTTCTCTTTATAAGCAAGGACAAGAGGATATTTGTTGCTTACAAACTCCTGTTTCTGATGCTCTGACCCTTCCAGTTACAGTCAAGGCCATTCCCCAGCTATAAAAATAAATCCCAATTGTGCATCTCAGGAGTCTGACGGTGTCATTACAAACAGGATGACCTCAGTTGAGTAAGAAAATGCAGGAGTACATGAATCCCCTCCCCGCCTCCCAGAATGCTGCCATTTACCTAGCTGTGTCTTTAAATAAAAAACAAAATGAAAAGAGAATCAACAAAAATTATACATAAGCGGAAGAACTATTTATAACCAGGCAGTGTCATAAAGAAAAAAAGAGCAGGTTTCTATAAACTGCTTTTTCAGTTAATTATGTCCTTCTTCATGAACTGCATCACCACTAGCTTTGCAGATCTGCCTAAACAGTGAGCATGAGGGCAGGGACAAACAAAAACACCTACCCCAGTATAATTTGCACCCATCATGAGCACCTGGCTAATGTTAAAATAATGGAGTAATTGGGGTGCATGGCAGGATGTGATGTGTTTGAGATGGGGCATAAAATTCCTCAGATCCTAACTGTGCAACAGGGCTGTCCACAGCCCTCAAGGATTGGGCTGAAAGTAGTTCTAAAACTTGGGTTGTCTGAGGCCAGGGTCAACAAACTAATGACTGTCAGCCCTGGCTCTGGACAGCCCCAGAGCCAGCTGGAGACCTGGCACGATGCATACATCAATATGCATCAGTGATCAATACCAGTACCTCCGACTGCCAGCCCTGGCTCCAGAAACCCTTAGGCTGAGGAGCTCCAGAAACCCTTAGGCTGAGGAGCTGTGGGGCTAGGAACTTTGAAGTACTGGGCTGAAGCGAGTCTCTGGCCTTGGTGAAACCTGACACTTTAAATGTAGTTTTAAAAATTGCCAAATGCAAGAGTTGCAAGGTTTCCACTGGGGGAAGTGGGGCCCTTGGCTCCCCCAGCTGGAAACCTGGCAACTCACCTGCCAGACAGCTCATTGCTGGGATTGGATTGAGGCTGTCCCCAGTCCTAAAATGACCATCAACAATTGTTGGCATCATGAACTCCCATATAGGTTCCAGACCCTGGACTGCCAGACATTTCATGTACAATATCTTGTGGATGGTTGGCCATTTCATAGCACCATAAATTGGCTGAATATGTGGCATGTTGCTATTTATGGCACAATTAACATGTTACTCATGCCATAAATGTAATGCATGCCACAGACTTTTAACACTGATGTAAGTTACAATGGGATCAGAAATTGGGGGGCGGGGGGGCTGGAAAGCCATGCCAGACCAGCCAACACAGAAGGTGGCTATTACTGAGCCTCACTGGTAAGTGCTAGGGATAACATGCAGAAAGGGAATATGCAATCAGATGTGGAGAAGCTTTCTCCACTTTCTACATAAGAAGTAGCTTATGGATGCTGAATCTAGCTTTTATGAGAACCCTTACCAGTACTGTAATTCCTTGTTCTTTGCACAGCATGGCTATTGCACCTAGGAGAACGCTCACCAGCACCCAAAATACAGAAAAATGGTTTCCTTCTTTATCTGTCAATGTAAAATATGACATAATTTAGGCTTATATAATATTCAAGTTGGCATTAGAAACAACTTTTTAAAAATGCAATACTGTTTACTTTCTCTTAAAATCTTCTCTACCCTGCCAAGTGAGAGGTGTAGAAGGGATGAACAACAATATGCTGGCATTTGTTCATTGGCCCCAGGGATTTAGTAGTAGACCACAGATGCATTAGGAATCTCCCCCTTTGGTAGACATTCTGTGGCTCCATACAGGTTTCTACAACATATTTCTGCAAAGTCCAATCATTAGACACAAATGTATCATCCTTGGCTACAGGTCAGTTATTAACGGCAACTCTCTCAAGCTACCAGAGAAGAAAGCAAAAATCCTCCTAATGAACATATGAAGTGTCAGCCATATGATTCCCATTTTAACTGTTGCTTAATCTGCAAAAGCACAAGGAGCTAAAAGCACCTCTAAAACTGCTGAGTTTAGCAGGTATATCATCACGTTTCATTAATACTGCAATGTAACGTGATGGAACCCATTAATGCCAGTTCGGGTGAAGGGCCCATAGTGAAGAAGTTAACATCTGCAATCAGGAAGCACGGGTTACAGCCACATGAGAACTCTGGGGTTAGTAAGGTGAGAGCGAGGGCAAGAGAGACAGGAGATACTACTGTGAATGGGAGTCTTTAAGGTAGTACAATCACTGACAGCTGATGCAGGACACCACAAGTAGGTATATATTTTATCCCCATCATAGCCCATCAGCATCATAGAAATATATATTGTATGTATTAGATTTATATCATATGGCTTAGACTTCAGAGGTACATTTGATTTTTTTTAAATAGAACAAAACATGATTGCTTATAAAATTTAGTGTCGTGTCTTCTCATATTCTGTGTCTGAATAAAAATACTTTGGAAACAATTAAATTCAAAATTCAAGTTTTGATTTTGGTTTTTGTTTTGATATGGGTTTTTTTTTTTGGGGGGGGGGGGTCTAAAGGGAAAAGGGATTGATTTGTTTTCTTTTTCCTGTCCTATTTTTTGATACACAAATATAGTTTGATACGACATTTCATCCTACCAGACTCTTCTGCTGAAGTGAATTATGATATTCTACAGCAGGATAGAATCTGTCCACACAAAAAACCCTCAATAACAATAACATTCAGCACATATGATCCCTTGCATAAGTAAGATCCACAAAGCTCTTTATTAACTTAAATGATAGTAACTCATTATAGGTAGAGAATCTGAAAGCTAAACTTTGTATGCAAGGATTTTTGAAATTTGTACAATTTATGAGCAACTAATATTAAATTAGGCAAATACATTCTTAAGTTGACATCACTGAACATTTTGTTGAATCTGGCTCTTCCTAGCCAGCTGAAGGGTTATAGTAGTCTGGAACAGAAACATGTACGGAGTGACTAGATTTACCCAATTTACCTAGATTTACTTAGTTTAAAAAGTTTCAACTTGATAGCTCCTTGGTACTTTTCTCTAGCCTTATTTTCTCTGTATTGTGCTGATGCAGAGGGAAATCCAGCTCAAATTTTTACAACACAAGGTAGATGTTGCCATCTCACCCACTTGGCATTTGCCACTATTGGTTTTGTTTTTTTTTTGTTTTTTTTTTTACATAAGAGACAGAATCACTATCACGTGCACATTTCCAGTTTTCAGAAGAATTGCCTAAGCATGTGAGGTATACATAGGCTTAAGCAGAAGCATTCCAAGGTAGTGAAAATGCCCAGCATGAAATGATAAATAAATATCAAGCTTCTCTCTTACAAAACTAAAATTTTAGTTGCTTTATTTCTTCTAGTGGTCTTTAAAGGACAATGTTGTCAGAGACTGAGATGTAATATTATGAAATTTAATTAGTTTGCGAATAAGTTTCATGGAGGGAGACTTCCAATGATAAAGAAAATATTATCTTGTGTTTGTTTTTGGGTCAATATGTGCACATACTTTTTCTTCTGTGCAGAAAAAAACGGTAGTGAGCTAGCCTAGAAAACTAGATACAGAAGACAGGAATTTAGTAATGCCATTAATCAATTAATTTTTGAACAAGGCTTTGAAAATTTAAAGCACTATATAAGTGCTAATTATTATTATAAGATACAGACATGCCAACAGAGACAATCAGTTTAATGAAGCACATTCCCCTAATACTGCACTGCTTCCCACTAGGAAGATCTTCTGTCAGAAAACGAAACCAATCTTTGGTTGGCACCTGTGCCTAGTTGAAACTAGTACACCATATTGTGAGTGGGCATAGTGCCACCCTAGCAGATGGGGAAGATTGTAAGCATGCCAAAGAAGCACAGTGTGTGTTACATTTCTGTTCTGAAAGTTAGAAATCTAGTGTTTCCATATATTTATAAAAGGATCTCCAGGCTGCCCCTTCTTAGAAGTAGGTAAGTCTGAAAGCCCAAGAGATTCAATGGAAAACCCACAAGGGTTTGGTTTTGTTTGTTTGTTTTTTTTAAAGAGAAACAATGTTGGGGTGGTCATCTATTCAGATTGACAGGCTGACATGCCTAAGTAATTTTGCATACAGTGTGCCTCCTGCTGTGGAATTAATTGAACCTAGGTTTTTCCTACAGTTACTGGACAGTTTAGGATCTAAGGTTGCAACAGCCGTACTTGGGGCTGGATGGTGAGGGGCT